ACTAATACAATAGGTTGTATACTGTAATACACTAATACAGTAGGTTGTATACTAGAATCCACTAATACATTATGTTGTATACTGTAATACACTAATACAATAGGTTGCATACTGGAATCCACTAATACATTATGTTGTATACTGTAATACACTAATACGATAGGTTGTATACTGTAATACAGTAGGTTGTATACTGTAATACACTAATACAATAGGTTGTATACTGCAATACACTAATAAAATACATTGTATATTGGAATAAACTAATACATTAGGTTGTATACTGTAATACACTAATACATTAGGTTGTATATTGAAATAAACTAATACATTAGGTTGTATACTGTAATACACTAATACAGTAGGTTGTATACTGTAATACACTAATACATTAGGTTGTATATTGGAATAAACTAATACATTAGGTTGTATGCTGTAATACACTAATACAATAGGTTGTATACTGTAATACACTAATACAGTAGGTTGTATACTGGAATACACTATTACATTAGGTTGTATACTGGAATCCAATAATACATTATGTTGTATACTGTAATACACTAATACAATAGGTTGTATACTGTAATACACTAATACAATAAGTTGTATACTGTAATACACTAGTACAGTAGGTTGTATACTGTAATACACAAATACAATAGGTTGTATACTCTAATACACTAATACAGTAGGTTGTATACTGTAATACACTAATACAATAGGTTGTATACTGTAATACACTAATACAGTAGGTTATATACTGTAATACTCTAATACAGTAGGTTGTATACTGTAATACACTAATAAAATACATTGTATACTGTAATACACTAATACAGTAGGTTGTATACTGTAATACACCAATACATTAGGTTGTATACTGTAATACACTAATACAATAGGTTGTATACTGTAATACACTAATACAGTAGGTTGTATAGTGTAATACACTAATACAGTAGGTTGTACACTGTAATACACTAATACAATAGGTTGTATACTGTAATACTCTAATACAGTAGGTTGTGTACTGTAATACACTAATACAGTGGGTTGTATACTGTAATACACCAATACAATAGGTTGTATACTGCAATACACTAATACAATAGGTTGTATACTGTAATACACTAATACAATAGGTATATACTGTAATACACTAATGCAGTAGGTTGTATACTGTAATACACTAATATGATACATTGTATACTGTAATACACTAATACAATAGGTTGTATACTGTAATACACTAATACAATAGGTTGTATACTGTAATACACTAATACAGTAGGTTGTATACTGTGATACAATAGGTTGTATACTGTAATACAATAGGTTGTATAGTGGAATACACTAATACAGTAGGTTGTATACTGTAATACACTAATACAATAGGTGGTATACTGTAATACACTAATACAATAGGTTGTATACTGTAATACACCAATACAGTAGGTTATATACTGTAATACACTAATACAGTAGGTTATATACTGTAATACATTAGGTTGTATACTGGAATACATTAGGTTGTATACTGTAATACACTAATACAAGTGGATGTATACTGGAATACATAAATATGTTTTGATATTATAGTGAAGCAGATCCTTTGGTTGGATGGTCAAAACCATTGCTGTGGCGAGCAGATGCAACATATGGAGCTCTTGTTGCAAAGGTACTGTACTGTCTTGATAATATTAACTGAAGATGGATGATTAACAGAGTTATTAACTAATTTAAAATACAAAACCAAAAGTTTATTTTTTCTATACATTCACACCTTGTTGTAATGTTGTTTAGTAAAATTGTCTTCTAAACTCAACAATATATTACCTGGTAATATAAACCATTAACTTCTGTAAGATAGTGTATTGTGAATATAATTTCATGCTGTTCTTAACACGTGTTAAATCATAACACATTTTTCTTGTGTCTCAGTATAAGCTCCTGTTGAATCTGTATATGAAATATCAAACATTAAGAAAAAAGATTTTCTTTTGCTAGAGTTGATGTAAAATAATTTTGAATTAATTTCATGTATGTATATTTTCACACTTTGATTTAATAAAGATTTTTACAAGCTCCCTCTAAACTTGCACACTGTGAAGAATACTTTGATATATTATTAAATCAGCCATGTGATAATAAAAACAGTTTTAAAATTTAGTTGTTTTTATTACTATTATATTATTAATTTTGGAAATTTCATAGACTAATACCATTTGTTTATGATTTGGGAGAACATATTTCAAAACATGTAATTCCTTTCTTATCCTTCCTCCATCGTAAGACTACTGAAATTAAAGAATAATGAATAGGCTTAATTCAGTGAGAGATTTTGCATGGTATGTGATTAACTATTATTTTTTGCAGGTAATAGGACAACATATCCAAACGTTTTTTGAAAAACAAAAAATGCCCTTGTGTTCCATGTGCCATTATAAACTCCTAAGTAATGACAACGCCTTTCTCAGTTTTTTCCCTCATCAATTCGAACAACGGACCTTGTTGGCTAGGTTCCAGATGAATAACACTGTACCCCCACATGTTCAATTCTTCAAAAAACCTGTGTATGCTGTGACTGGCATACTGGGGAAGTTAGGGGAAACATTGTTGAATTACAAACTATCATTTCAAGGTATTTTTAAGTTTTAGTATAACTTTTATGATAAATGTTATGTAGTTTAAACAGGGTATATATTTTTAACACAAGACACTTGACTGTCATGTTAGATTTATTTATATATAATAAAATTTGTATGATCATTATGAAATATTATCAAGTTCTAATACATAATTTATGCAAATAGGTATTTGTTTAATATATCAACAAAACCTTTGATGTCAAAAAACAAATAAGGGATCTAGAGTAATAACATACAGGCAGTTTAAAGAAAGACTGGGTGTTATCAAGTTAAGTTCAGATACGATATCTTACCTCCACTCACAAAAAGCTTTCTAGATTGATACTGCCTTCCATTGGTACAAATTTTTGTTTGCCACAAGCCTTGATAATCCCACTTACCCTCACGTATATTAACGTGAGATATCTGCATATTAACATGCAAATGATTATGCAGCAACCTTCCACCAATAGGAGTGCAGCATTATCCCTATCGTAACTAGCGCCCTCTCTAATCTTACAGCTGTTATTCACTTCTTGATTGGCACTCTTACTGAATAGACATGTTTTTGATTAACTTCTCCACAAATTTTTACTTTCTTAATTTTTCTACTTCAGTTCAATTGTTATTTACCATTTTCATTCTTTTTTCGTGGAGAGTTTTAATTTAATTTATTTATCTTCTCTCCTATTTTTCCTTGTGAGAATTATTCACTCACAATTTCAAGTGGTCATGACTACAACTGATGTTACTGCTGCAGTGGATTTCCCGACCACATCCACCGGGTCAGAGCCCCGATTAACGACCCATGATCTGACGGCTCTAGTACGTTGGGAGTTGACCAATTTCATACAATATTCAGAGCCACCTGATGATTGTCCTATCATACCTGCTCAGGGTTTGAGTGATTGGGAAGATGAGGATTTGGACAGCCTTTTTTCCTTTCCTGAATATGCCTCTCAGTCGCGTGTAGTTTCGAGGGTATTGCCCAGACCTCTTTCCCCTTTTGTGGAAATTGATTAATCAGGTATGTCGTGCCCTAGTCACTCTACACCAAGGGGTCCCATTATTTGTTATTTTTTTGGGGTCCCTCCTTTGTTTCCATCTGTTTGGTGACACTTTACTCATGGACGATGAATATACCTGGTTCAAAAGTGGTGCAGTCTCCCATAGGTGTGTTATTTTTAGTTCCTTCTCACACCACATGGTTTTCCTTTGGGTGCTACCTAAAGGGAGATCATCTTCTCACCGGCCATTCACTGCTTCACTGTGAAATTCTAGCCTTTTTGTTAGAGAGGAGGTAAGATATTGTATCGGAAATTATAATTTTCTTAAACTGAAAAGGTATTTCCAACTTAGCTAACATTTCCCACTTCCGGTGTAGTTTGGTGTGATACGACCAAAGTGGAAGTGGTTAACAGCTGCAAGATTAGAGAGAGGGTGCTAGTTATGATAAGGGTAGTGTCACACACTTATATTGGTAGAGGATTGCTGCATAATGATTTACATGTTAGTATGCAGATATCTTATCTTAACATATGTGGGAGTATGAAGGCTAGTGGCAAGCAAACATTTGCACCAATAGAGGGAAGTATAAATCAAAAAACTTCTTTTTGTGACAGGAGGTAAGTATTTATTTGAAATACATTTTCAGTTTAAGAATATATATTAACCTTTGTAGCACAGAGCTAAAGCCAATTTATAGAAAGACTGGGTGTTATCTAGTAAATATTTGTAATCTAGAATTATAACCAATTTATGAAAAAAACATGTTTTATCTAGTAACTTGTTGTTATCCAGAGTTACAACCAGTTTACAGAAATACAATGTTATCTAGTGAAGTCTTTTTGCCCAGACTTACAGACAATTTACAGAAAGACAGTGTGTTATTTAGTGAAATCTTGTAACACAGACTTACAGCTAGTTTATAGAAAAAGAATATTATCTACAAAAGTCTTGTAACACATATAAAGAAAAATGTTCAGAATTTTGTCTTGGGCAAGAATTGTCCAACAATTTTTGTGTTGCATCTTAAATACCAGACCCCGCTAAGAATGCCTATATCTACAGATGACATACTATAGATTTATTAACACACTGACATATCTTCCTACAGATAGTATACTATTGATTTAGTAACACACTGACATATCTTCCTACAGATGGTATGCTGTAGATTAAGTAACACACTGACATATCTTCCTACAGATGGTATGCTGTAGATTAAGTAACACACTGACATATCTTCCTACAGATTGTATACTATAGATTTAGTAACACACCAACATATCTTCCTACAGATGGTATAATATAGATTTAATAACACTCTGACATATCTTCCTACAGATGGTATACTGTAGATTTAGTAACACGTTCACATATCTTCCTACAGATTGTATACTATAGATTTAGTAACACACTGACATACCTTCCTACAGATGGTATACTGTAGATTTAGGAACACGTTCACATATCTTCCTACAGATTGTATACTATAGGTTTAGTAACACACTGACATATCTTCCTACAGATGGTATATTGTAGATTTAGTAACACACTGACATATTTTCCTACAGATGGTATACTGTAACTTTAGTAACCCACTGACATATCTTCCTACAGATTGTATACTATAGGTTTAGTAACACACTGACATATCTTCCTACAGATGGTATATTGTAGATTTAGTAACACACTGACATATTTTCCTACAGATGGTATACTGTAACTTTAGTAACACACTGACATATCTTCCTACAGATTGTATACTATAGATTTAGCAACACACTGACATATCTTCCTACAGATGGTATATTGTAGATTTAGTAACAC